TTATTAATATAAGTTCCCCCATCCATCAGCCAAATGAATGAACAGCTCCCTAATCGAAAGCCATGCTTTTCTAACTTTATTACAGTACATTCTGCAAGACGAATCCTTTAGCTCTTAATTTAAGTTCCATTTTACTTATGGTGTCACACTCCCACCTCACCCTAGAGATGTTTTTTTTCTGGTCATGGGGCCTGAACTCTGGGCCTGGGCACTGTCCCTCAGCTCTTCAGCTCAAGGCTAGCACTCTACCACTTGAGCCACAGTGCCACTTCCAGCTTTTTTCTGCTTATGTGGTGCTGAGGAATTGAACCCAGGGCCTCATGCATGCAAGGCAAGCAGTCTACCACTGAGCCACCTTCCCAGCCCAATCCTAGATATTTCTAACAAGTCCAGAACTTCTAAAGAAAAGAATAATTCAAAAGCAAGTCCCAGAAAGGGACTTGCACTAGTGGTTCATGCCTGTAATCCTAGCTACTTAGGAGGCTGAGAACTGAGGATCGCAGTTCAAAACCAGCCCAGGCAGAAAAGCCCATGAAACTCTTATCTCCAATGAACCACTAGAAAAACAGAAATGGCATTGTAGCTCAAGTGGTCGAGTGCTAGTCTTGAGCAAAAAAGATCAGGGACAGCTCCAGGCCCAGAGTTTAAGCCCCACAACCAACCCAAAAAGAAAAAAAAGAAAAGAAAAGAAAAAAAGAAATGTACTCACGAAAGGATAACCCCTCTGTACAACACCTTGTCAATAACAATAAAATTATATTTACAATTTTCATTTTACTGTAAAGGTAATGTACAGAGGGATTACAGTGACATAAGTAAGGAAATGAGCATATTTCTTGTCACATTGTTACCCCTCCCTCAATTTCTCCCACTTTACCGTCGCCTACCCCTCCCACTCAAGTTGTGAAGTTCATTTCCAACATAGTGTCTTGTGAGTATGGCTGTTGCACTGGTTCACCCTTTGTCCTTTGTCTCACCATTCTGTGATTCCCCTTTCCTTCCCCAACTCAGATAAATATATACAACAAGGGATAAGCCAAAGGGGAAAAAAAGAAAAAAAATAACTTCACACAGTACATAAAAAAAACCTCTTGTTTCCATTTCTTGAAATTCATTTCAATTAGAATCATTTTATATGGTCATATGTACATAGCTATGGTGATCTTCTGCTAGAAGTATCCTAGACATATACTAATTATTACAAATGAGGAAAACCATGAAGCTTATGTTTCTTTGGGTCTGGCTTATATCACTTAATATAATTTTTTTCAAGTCTTTCCATTTCCTTATGAATGGAACAATGTCATTCTTTCTGATGGAAGCATAAAATTCCATTGTGTATATATACCACATTTTCTTGGGAAAATTTAATGTGGTAAAATTTAAATTCATAACAAATGATGGTGCTATCATAAAACTACATATGAAAAAGCAGTGACATTCATAGAAACAATATGTTTGAAACAGATATGTGTATTCAGCATATGTATGTAAGTAATATTTCACAAGGTAAGAAAAAAGAAAATATTTTTCAATAAATTATGTTAAAAGAGGTAAAAAAAAAAAAAACCATGTTTTTAAGCAAGTCTCTGTGCAACTCTACTACAAGATCAAGGTCTATTAAAATCTAGCCTTTTCTTGGGAGTTCTCATGAGCAATTAATGAAACAATCAGATCCAAAATGTATTTTACATGACGGGAGAGAAATACAAAACAAAATGGGGAATTCTATGAAGATCCATGCCCTCCCAGATTCAGAAGTCTTTAATTATCTACGTCTGTTACAACTGGAGAAGTCAGATAAAGGATGTGAGGACCAGGAGGAGAGATGTCTTGATTCTTAAGTGTTAAAATACAGGAAGCATCTGCTCTAAGAACAATATAGCCTCTGATAATACAGTAACATTCTCCTTTAAAAGAGACAATGGCAGATTCCCAGGGGCCCTGTATGTCCAGAATCAAAAACCACCCAATGGGAAAAGCAGTATTTTCCCGCTTTCTTTTTCCAAGATGTATTTTGCAGCCTGGTCAAGGTTTTCCAATCCAACCTTGAGCAACTGAGGGATCCTCCTCCCAAAAGAAAAGCCTAAAGATAAAATTAAAACCAAGCCAGGTGTCAGTGGCTCATGCCTGTAATCCTAGCTACTGAGATCTGAGAATCATGGTTCCAAATCAGCCTAGGCAGGAAAGTCCAGTGAGACTCTTCTCTCCAATTAACCACCAGAAAACTGGAAAAGGAGCTGTGCTCAAAGTGGTAGAGCATTAGCCTTGAGCTCAAGAGCTCAGGGACAGCACCCAGGCCCTGAGCCTCACGACCAACAGAAAAAAATAAAATAAAATAAAAACCAAGCCAGGCACAGGTGGCTCAGGCCTGTAATCCTAGCTACTCAGGAGGCTGAGATCTGAAGATCACAGTCCGTGAGACTCTTGTCTCCAATAAACCACCAGAAAACCAGAAGTGGTGCTATAACTCAAGCAGTACAGTGCTCGCCTTGAGCTGAAGAGCACAGGGACCGTGCCCAAGCCCAGAGTTCAAGCCCCACAACCAAAAAAAACCGTCAGTATTAGCCAAAATCATCCTGTCATTCTGAACTTCTTGTATTGCAGTTTAACAGCCTTACTCCTCAAGCAAAAATTATTTTTTAAAAAAATTTGCGCCAATACTGGGGCTTGAACTTAGAACCTAGGCACTGTCCCTTTTTTTCACTCAAGGCTTATGGCTGGTTAATTGGAGCTAAGAGTCTTTCAGGTTTGTCTGCCAGGACTGGCTTTGAACCATGATCCTCAGATCTAAGCCTCCTGAATAGCTAGGATTTCAGGCATGAGCCATTAGTACTCAGCCCAAATTATAAACTCTAAATCTGGAACCACCTTAAGTATTATCTCCTGTGATGCAATGCATCAATATTTCCTTTAGCTACAGTCATAAGACAAAGACTCATTCATTTTCAGAAATGAGTAGTTTTACTGGACTCCCATTTCAGGCCTTTAACAAATACCTAAACATTCTTCTAGTTAACAGTGTTTACCAGGATTTGGGGGTATAGGGAGTGAATTTTTTCTTTTATTTCGGAGTTTATCCAATTTATCAAATTGGAAGCCCTGAGTGCATATTACTCTGTCAACTAGAAAGGAAAATACAATAATTGTTCATTTTATTGGAAAAAATTGAGTGTTTGTGTTGACCTCTAAAATTATTTTTCCCTTTATATTTAAGGCACAAGTAACTCACACCTGTGATCCTAGTATTCAGGAAGCCGAAATCTGAGGATTGTGGTTTGAAGTCAGCCAAGGCAGAAATGTCTATGAGATTCTTATCTCCAACTTAACATCAAAAAACTGGACATGGAGCCGTGGTTCAAGTGGTAGAGTGTCAGCCTAAAGTGAAAAGGCCAAGGGACAGAGCCCAGGCCCTGAATTAAGCCCCAGGATTGACGCACGCGCGCGCGCGCGCACACACACACACACACACATCCTTTACTGACCCAATATAATCCTAAAGCATATTAGAACTCAAACCTGAACCTGAAACAAGAAATGTTGGTTCATTCACACATAGTGAGACCAAAAGAGCATAATCTTAGGGGAGGAACACAAACATGCAATACTTATGTGTATCTGATCATATAAAATGAAATTTTCAAAATGAACTCCAGGAAATGGAAAAAAAAATTTGTTGTTTTTTTTTTTCTCTTCGTGGTTGCTTTCTTTTCTGTTTGCCTTGTTTGTTCAGTTATCTGTCTTTGGAAGGGACAAAGGATGATCCAATGAAGCAGCAGAATTCACTAGACCCTGTTGAAAATGAACTATACTGGGCTGGGAAGGTGGCTCAAGTGGTAGAGCACTAGCCTTAAGCTGAAGAGCTGAGGGACAGCAGGTCCAGAGTTCAGGCCCCACAACTGACAAGAGAGAGAGAGAGGAGAACTATACAACTTATGGGAGGTGATGTTAGGGTAAAACTGAGAGAGAGGAAGGGAAGGGTGACACTGTCCAAAAAGAAATGTACTCGTTTGGGGGGGAGGGGGGAGGCTGGGAAGGGATGTGAAGGGTAAACAAAGGAGGAGGCTGCAATGCTTGGTAAGAAATGTACGCATTATCCTGCCCATGTAATTGTAACTCCTCTGTACAGTATGTTCACAAATAAAATAAAAATTAAAAAAAAAGAAATGTACTCGTTACCTGACTTACATTCCTGTAACTCCTCTATACCTCACCTTTATAATAAAATAACAAAATAAAGTTTTTTGTATCCACAATTTTTGGGGGGGTCCATTCGTGGGGCTTGTACTCTGGGCCTGGGCGCTGTCCCTCAGCTCTTCAGCTCAAGGCTAGCGCTCTACCACTTGAGCCACAGCACCACTTCCGGCTTTTTTCTTTTTGCTTATGTGGTGCTGAGGAATTGAACCCAGGGCCTCAGGCATGTAAGGCAAGCCCCCTACCACTGCGCCACCTTCCCAGCTCCCAAAATAAAGTTTTTTAAAAAGAAATGTTGGCTCTTTTTACAAATGGCTTTCACTTTCATGGTTTTTTCTATTGCTTTAAACTTTCACAAATACTCTAGGTATTATAAAACTGGGCCTTTGACTTTTGTGGAGCTCTTCTTACAGTCTTATTTACTCAATAAACTTCCTTTCATCTAATAAACATGCATCAGAGACTTCTAGGCCCACTCAGTTCCTCCTCTGGGCAGCTTTTTCCCTAGCTTCTTGCATGTGAGCTGTGGTGTTGGGACCATTTCTAGCCTCCACCATGAAACTTCCCTGCTCCTGCCCTACAGTTTGGACAGCCATGCTTGTGGTGGGTGGTGATGAAGCCACTGGCTCTCCAGAATCTTCACTTGAAAAACCCCTGGAAACCCTGTGTCAGATTTCACACAAGTGTAAATTACACAAGTATTCTAAGTCATTGAGAATAAGGGCTCCTCTGTTACACACCTAATGCATAATTCTAACATGTTCCAGTCATAGTAGGGAAGGGTAAAGCTAGGCAGATTATCTTACCTTTTTCAAAGACTCCTTCTGCTTCCAGGACAGACACTGTCAGATTCGATGATGTCTTAAGCACCTCGGCCTTCACAGTGACCACTGCAGGGCTGTGTTCCAGGAGCTCTACCCCAACGGTGACTCTTCCTCCAGGCCTGATAATCCCAGGGGCAGTCACCAGAAAGCGGGGCCTAAATAGTTCACAACCAGAAGAAAAGAGACTTTCTAGTTGGGATCCAGTGGCTTTACATCTGTAATCATAACTACTCAGGAGAATGAAATCTGATGACTGCAGTTCAAAGTCAGCCCAGGCAGACAAACCAAGAGGCTCTGTTCTCCAGCTAACCAGCAAAAAGCCAAAAATGAAGGTGTGGTTCAAGTGGTAGAGCACCAGTCTTGTAAGGAAAAAAAAAAGCAAGAGCATGGAGCTCTGATTTTAAGCCCCAGTTCCAGCACACATACACACATACACACACACACACACACACACACACACACAATTTTTTAAAGTAGTTTCAGCTGAGTTCTGGTGTTTCATGCTTGTAATCCTAGCTACTCAGAATGCTGAGATCTGAGGATGGGGGTTCAAGGTCATCCTGGGCAGAAAAGTCCACAAGACTCCTACCTCCAATTAACCAATAGAAAACCAGAAGTGGAGTTATGGCTCAAAGTGGTAGACAAAAGCTCAAGAACAGCATCCATGAAAAGAGAGCGAGAACAAGCAAGCAAGAGACATAGAGACAGAGACAGAGAGACAGAAGAGACAGAGACAGAGATAGAGACACACTAGGATTTGGCCTGTTTCCTATTAGAGTCTCTATATTTGAGCACTGACAGGGGAGGCGGGATGGATCACCTGATTCCAGTAATTGAAATATATCATCTGAAAATAAGCTACCAGTGGTGAAATTTTCAGATATAACAGACCATAAAAGAAATTACTTAAATTTTTAAAAAGGACATTCAACAGGTACTGGTGGCTCATGCCTGTAATCCTAGCTATTCAAGAGGCTGAGATCTGAGGTTCAAAGCCAGCACAGGCAGGAAAGTCCATGAGACTCTGAACTCCAGTTAACCAGCAAAAAAGCCAGAATTGAAGCTGTGGTTCAAGTGGTAAAGCACTAGTCTTGAGTGAAAAAGCAAAGGGACAGGATCTGGGCCCACTTTCCCAGCTGAGGACCTTCTATTATCTAAGATGTTCTTGTTTGGTCCTCTCCGTACGGCATTGGCGCTGGAACCCACACTTCCCAGTCGCACTTCGGCCGTGCCCAGATGACACATCCTGTTCGGAAGAAAGTATGCAGCGTGCGTGCCTTTGGGAGGAGAAGGCTGAAGGCCTTTATTTAAGGAGAAGAAAAATAAAGTCAAGAAAGGAAAGGCAGTGTGGAACTAAAACGCAAAATCAAATAACTTGCTTTAGAAAGTTATGGCCAGTAAACAACAACAACAATAATAATAATAACTTAAAACAACTTTTCGGGTGGACACAGTCATTGCCCTATGGACAGCCACGCAGAAGCCACCGATGCGCCCGGGACGGGGGTCCCCCCCTGGCTGCCGCGCCTTCACGCTGCCCGGGCCG